ATATTCTCTGCCAAGATCTCCAGAGAGGATCTTTCTTGCTTTGAAAATCAACATTCAAAGCGTGACAAGGCGCGGCTGAATCTAAGATATCAGTAAAACTGGTAGAGAAACACCCATTGCACCGAGAATAACCCAGACAATTTTAAAGAAATCATCAAACTAATGCATAAACGTTTCAAAAGAGCTAGTTTCATAAATTTGGCGAGACTAACAAACGTCCTTATCATATGAGCCACACCTTCGGCCCGCCCAAATTCGCGTATGAAACACCCGCAAAAGCAATCAATGATTATGAAGATATGACATAGCTGCCAATAGACTATGTGGCTGAAAAAGAACCAACAGAGTAACTATAATAAATAATACTGAGATCAGTGTCAGTGCGGTAAGATAAGAAAAAATAGAAAGTAGAATTTGAGCAATATCTTCAATCGCCTACCCGAGATTTGAAACCTTGCCAAAGGAATTACTCGCGCTTACACGGCGGGTGATGGCGCCTCTGTACCTTTCAGACTCTGCGCTCAAAAAAAGCTCAGCCAAATTTAAAATGCAGATTGAATTTATTGGTTTGCCAAACGTTAGTATATTTCTCGCTAATACTTGCTAGGTACAAAAGAAATGCGTTCATTAAATAAATGATTTATGAAGATCGTATTTCTTGAGAACTACGGCCTGTGGTGTGTGTTGGCGATATTCAAATATGAAAGTGTAACTCGAATTAGGCTGCCTGATTTTATTTCTCTGGCTTTTGTTCACGTTGAGAAATTAAAGATTTTTGTTACCTTTATATAAAGATGTATTAATCGTATTTCTTGAGAACTACGGCCTGTGGTGTGTGTTGGCGTTATTCGAATATGAAAGTGTAACTCGAATTAGGCTGCCTGATTTTATTTCTCTGGCTTTTGTTTACGTTGAGAAATTAAAGATTTTTGTTGCCTTTATATAAAGATGTATTACTGAATCCGGATCCTGACACAGTTACGGACTGGATTTTGATCTGACTTTTCTTCTCTCTATACTGTTTGAGCTATGTGATTAATATTCGTCAAAGTGCATTAACAAAGAAGGAGATTGGTATTAAAATAAAGATTCAGAGATTGCTGAATAAAATAAATGCTGCTTTCATCATTACTCTACAGAATTATTGATGTGACTATGTAAAGAAGGGCCTCAATAAACCTGTAGCCCGTCACCTAGTTACAGTTTTTCATCTTAAATTATTAATGTGTTCTATTGACTATTGAGTTTTGTGCCATGACAAAGAACTATATTACGTTGAAAAATAAGTATTTGTTCTTTAAAATAAATGTTGTTTTCATCATTAGGCAACAGAATTATTGACCCTACTGTGCCAAATCGTGGATCAATAATTTCGTAGTAATGTAATTATGAGCGGATTTTTTATCTGTTATTCTCAATTTACTGTGATGTAATTAATAATTACTACTAAATCCAATGCGTTGACAAAGAGATTATGTTAAAAAATAAAATAAGTATTTATTGTGTAAAATAATTTTTTGTCATTAAGTTACGAACTTCTTGATGTTCCTATGATGAATTTAGTAGTTTAGATGTGACACAAGGCCGAAAGTTTGAAGTCTATTGTGAGGAAAAACTCACTACCCAGTCGTAATTGATCTCGCGAGACAAACTTGCTAAACAGTTTTCGGACAAACGTATGAGAAACCCAGCGAAGATCGAACTCATTTCAGTGAACACAACCTGTATTTTTTACAGCAAGTTTATCAGTAATAGATGCATGATCCAGCAGCTTCATCCACAGTAACGTTAAAACACCCAAAAATAAATTGAAACTTATTTATATTCATCTTACAGACATAAATACTAACACAGGCAACTGCGTGTTTAACGTACTGCACGCTTGTCGGCTGTTCAGTCAATTTCCGATAATTTGAAAAGCAAGCAGTCAAAGTAAAGTATATGTCATAATATTGTAAAGAAACGGAAATGAATGGTAGTGAATTGTGACGTGCATTCTGCTTGAGATTGGAGCGCCAGTCGGTTCCCCAGATCTGTCAAAAGAAACTGACTGCTGCATATAACAAGTTACTTGTCAATGTGACTGATGCGATAAATCTTGATCGGAAACAAGTGAATAGAGGCGACAGTATTTACCGCTCAAACCTAACGGTATGTGGCTGATGTTGAAAAGAGGAAATGAAACCAAGTTATGAACAGCGAATCAGCCACATTTCCATAAATGCCAGTTTATTAATTTATTCATAGACATTTTAATTTTATTTTTAATCAGTTGGCCAAAGTAGAAAATGTCCTGATATGACAAGTAATGTTAAAGGCGTTTTAAAAAAAAATGCTTAAATGTGTAAATATGAAAATGATAGAAAGGAATGAAGAATAGATGAAGAAAATGAAGGTGAAATGACGGTGGGTGAAAATATAAAGAAGAAATGGCAACAAAAATATTTTCATGATGGAAATGTCCAATATCCGGGATATGCAAATAACTATAAACCTTGATTTGAAATGCTGTGTCGACAAGTGACAGCAACAAAATCACACACACTAGGACACACAAACTGACACGCACCAGCACATAGACATGCAAGCTAACAAAACACAGAGTTAGCTCCTACCTAATTCTAATATATATATATATATATATATATATATATATATATATATATATATATATATATGCTTATGGACAAAAAAAGTTTGAGGTCACACTGTGAATTTCAAAGAATCGCCTAAAAATTAAGGGTTACCTGCCTTTTTCAAAATTAATTTACTGACTCACTGCGAGCTAGAGGGGTTTTTCGATTTCTGAGCAGATTTATCATATAGTCACTAATAATAATATTAATGAAATTAACCCTTTAATACATTTTTCCTTAAAATTTTAACTCTTTTTGCCTAAACTAACCTTTTATCTAATCTTAGTGCAGGCGCATTTAAAATTATAGATGACTCCTACTCTAAAAACTTGAAAGACATGCACTAATGGAATAAATAATTTCAGCATCCTACCTTAGTAGGAGTTAATTAAACCAAAGAAGGGAGGAAACTTACTAATTATTAAATTCAGATGGTGGCCAAAACGTTTGGTCTATACATATATATATATATATATATATATATATATATATATATATATATATATATATATATTTTAAGATATTTTTGTAGGTACAAAATTTAATGATCGAAATAAAAGTATAAAATTTAATATTACAAGACATATTAAAACAATATTAAATAATAAAAAAAAACACAACATATATATATATATATATATATATATATATAAATTGAGATCAAATACATATTAAATATGGATCGGAATCCAGCAGAATTATATAATGAAGAACAAATAGGAAGCGTTTATAAATTTAACATGTTTCTCTTTATTAAAGCTTCATCACAGAATGAGATATGGAAAAAGTAATTTTCTGGTGTTTATATTCTAGTATTGTTTGATTTTCATCGGTTAGGCAGACTTCACATGCATTTGACTAGTTAAGCAGAGTTCGTGTATATAATTTATGTGTACCAGCAATACATTTTTGGAGGAAAAAATTATTATCAGCAATAAACATCATGTCGGCATTAAATAATCCATTGAGGTTGATATGCCGTAAAACGTTTCCTATGTGTTCTTTATCATATATATTATTATTATTATATATATATATATATATATATATATATATATATATATATATATATATATATATATATATATATATATATATATATATATAAGGTCAGTTCGTTCTATCTTTTTGTGTGTCTGTATATGTTCTTACTACTATTTAATTTACACCTTAAACGTAAATTCGCAAAAAATATAAAAAGAAAATGTTCTCATTGCTTTAAAGAAAACAGAACAATATAAGATTTATTGCCTAAAAATATTTTGTTATTGCTTTTTCAGCTTGTCGAAAACAAACAATAATTTCAGAACATCTCATGTTCTCGAAATCTTTACACTTAGCTCATATATATATATATATATATATATATATATATATATATTATATGAGGTACGTGGAAAGGTTTTTTTTTAAATAGAAACCGAATACCTAGTAGAGAATTTTTCAGACATTTCATATATGAACTCTCTCTCTCTCTTCTCTCTGTGTGTGTGTGTGTGTGTGTGTGCAAGAGGTACGATGAGTCGTAAGTACTATCAGCATGGACAAAAGGTTCATATTTCGTCTGTTACTGGATGAACGACTACTTAGCCAAACCACTTCCCCATAACCACTAAACTTGCTATAGTAGCAACAAAAAAGTTTTTCTCCAAATAAACAAACTTGATATAATCAATATTAATGAAGGATGCTGAAATGTATTTGAATCGACCTTCTTTACAAAATTTCTCCAAATGTCCAAGATCAGACATTTTCATCATCATCATGTGAATACACACACACACATATATATATATATATATATATATATATATATATATATATATATATATATATATATATATATATATATATATATATCTATGTGTGTGTGTATTCATATATATATATATATATGCATGCTGGAAGGCATATTTTCTTCATTAAGACTCTCGAAATCAAAGACCGGTAGGCGTAAATTTATACTGTTTAATTTAAAAACTAGTGTCTTTCAAACACGTTTATCCACTAAATATAATGTTTAAAGTCATTGTGTGTGTGTGTGTGTGAATAATATAAATTTTAAATGTTTCCGTTTAAAATTATAATTTTTCAATTATTTGGTAATCGTTATGCAAGTATTTTTCTCAAGTGCCTTTAACCAAATCTACATGTTTCCTAATTATTTATGAAATATTTTTTCACGAAATTTTATATTCCGCACGCATATGTTGTTGTACCTTATTTTTTTATCTTAAATTTCCTCAAAAATTAAAAATAAATTAGAAAAATAATAAAATTACCTGTCAAAATTTTAGGCTAATTCCAAATCTTATGTGTATCCAGTTAGTCAAGATTAACATAAAACTTTCAAAAGTTACTTACCTTTTTTAGCTGTTGATGACCGATAGAAATTTGATGAATAATATTGTTGTTCTCGAGGACAAACAAAATCTTTGACGCTGGCTTTAATCTGGGAATTCGAAAATAAATACAAAATAAATTCAAAATAAATTCAAAATAAATTCGAGAATAAATTCAAAATAAATTCAAAATAAATTAAAAATAAAGGTGGTTGACGATTTAAAAAATCAAAATTTAAATCTCTTGATATTTGAGTATAACATTTCGACTATTTAAAATATAACATTTTTTTATTTATTTATCAGTAATTATTGGTCGTTCGAAATTTGAACATTGCCCAGAAATATGCCATAAAAATCGATTTACATTTAAAAATTTTCTTTCTTTGATATTATGATTATATTTTTGTTCTACAAGCATTACCAGTGTTGTAATTTTATATCTTATTTTGTGTGCATAAATATACGTAAAAAAACGTACGTAAAAACGATAACAATTTTACGTGCCGTGTCCCTTCAGGACGTAGGCGATCATGGCCCTCTACCTCCAGCTTCCCCTTGCATCACTTAATAAGTTTTGTCTTTTTGTTATTTATCCCATACCCGTTCCGCCATCCGCATGCTCAACCCATTCAGTATGTCATGCGTTGCTTTCCCCTGCCCTTCTTTCCCCTATCCGTCCTGTGAGTATCAGATTTTCCAAGCCCTACTTTCTCATGTCCCAGAAATTTCAGCTGCCTCTTCCTGATATTAAGTACGTTTCCTCTTTGTTTCCATTCTCTCCAAAACCTCGTCGTTACTCACATTTAGTTCAGTACTCTTTGTTTCCAGTGAAATTTTCCTGTCTCATAATACTCTGCTTAGCTTTTGGAATGCGTCTTTGGCCATCCCAATACTTCTTCGGATCTCAGGATCGCACTATCCGTACTCTGTCAGAACACTTCCCAGATATTTAAATTTCTGTACCTGCTTGATTTTACTGCCCCCGACCTGTAAATTTCATTTTGGGCTCATCTTTTTACTGTTGACCATTCATTCTGTCTTCTTGTAGTTTATGCTTCTTCCTCGCTCTTCTTCGCTACCTTCTGTAAGAGGTTTTGTAGTTTCCTTTCTATGTCTGCTATCAGCACTGTGTCATCTGCATATCTTATGCTGTTAAGTTTGTGGCTGCCAATGATGAATCCTGGTAGGATTTCCAGTTCTCTCAGAATTGCCTCGATGTATAGGTTGAATAAGTTCGGTGAGAAGACACCCCTTTCTATTTTTGTTTATCTACCGAACTTTTTATTCGTATAGTGACGTTTTGCTGCCAGTAGAGATTTTTAATTATTCTGATGACTTTCCCGGATATATCAAGGTTGCTGGGCAGCTGTAACAGATCTTTGTGACGTATATGAGTAACAACATTACAGGGACATATAACAGTAGCAGTCGAAAGAGGAAGCAATCTAATTTAGATACCCGCTCAGATTATTATTATTATTATTATTATTATTATTATTATTATTTCCATTTATTTCTGTTGTATACACATTTCCTTCCGTATCCCAACCAGAGACCTAAGGTCAGAAATGATCATTTTTGGAAAATAAATATATAAATAAAAGATCACACACACATTTTACATAGACAAACCTCTTCGTAACGTGTGAGCTCTATTTGTGAGTATAATTTGTTGTAGTTCTTTAAGGCATGGGCTACCAGGAATCCTTTCTATGAGTCTATCGGAACATTTTCCAATCGATCCGAGAGCTTATCATTATTATTATTATTATTATTATTATTATTATTATTATTGGGTGAGAGAGAAGACGGCCAACAAAATGATGGAATGGTACAAAGCCCAATATAGTCATCATGATACCTAGTTTGATAACTGTATACCACGCACATGCATTACAGTCAAATGTGCTCGATATAGTGAAAGGTTTCATAAAAGCACCTCATAACCTTGCAGGTGGGACACATGTTAGAAATACCTTCAGTTTTGGTAACCCTGTCCGCTAGTTGTGGGTCTTCCCAAGTATTTCGATGTTACTCCCAAGTTGCTTTAGCTGACTCATCCTTCAAACTTAAAAAAAACAACCCTCTGGACACCTGGCCATAATGCTCTCCACCTACACATGTTCATAAACGGAAATGCGAAGGGTGTCAACTCTTTGTGGGCATTCGTAACTAGTTACGGTCAGGCAATTAACAAGCAAGTATGTGGTACTCAAAAGTAGTCGATTTATTTCACTAAAACAAAACATGTCCAATCATAAGCAATAAGAACCACGCTTGGTGTAGCATCATGACTTTTCATTTTTTTTTATTTCCTCTAATTTCTGTTGCACAAACATTTCCTTCCGGGTCCCAACGAAAGATCTAAGGTCAGAAATGGTATCATGACATTTTCCACTGAGTATTTTTATAAAAAAAAAAAGCCAGACAACCTAAGACCACACACATTTTACATTTTTCTTCGTAAGGTGTAAGCTGTACTTGTGAGAACAATATTTTGTATTTCTTTAAAGCATGGGCTACCAGCGATTCCTTCGATGAGTCTATTGGAAACGTTTCCAATCATTCCGAGAGCTCCAACTACAATTGGAATTATTTATGTCCTCATGTGCCACATTTTTTTAGATTTCCACTTCAAGATCTTTTTTATTTAGATGTCTTTAAGATCTTTAAAGATGTTATTATTATTGTTATTATTATCATTATTTTGAGTTTTAATTAGCAGCTTGACTATTAATGAATTCATAAAGACTTGATGAAAATCACAATTACTATATTTTTTTAATATTTTTATACACAAGCACGTAGATAATAATCATTGTAGAATTCAATC